CAGTCAAGCTCCTGTAGTCCCCAGGTCTCTACACTGACAAATATAACATGCCAGGCGGTAATTCCTTTTAGGTTTTCACAATCTCCAATGCTTTGTTTGCATATACAGCTTTTACGTTTTGAAACTTCCTGAAGGCAGACAGCTGAAGTTTTTGGACATTGCTAAGTGCTTAAATATCTAACTACATTTCACATTAGATTTTACAGGAAAAAATCACTATGCATATACAGAAAAAAAAAAAACACCAAAGAGAATGGTTTTAATTCAGAATATAAGGATACTGGATCTGTCAGTAGATTTAGTCAAAATACTGCATTTTACTCATTAATATATGTATAAACTATCATTCCTGTCTATATTAACCAGACAAGTAATTATGCCAATTTGTTTTTTCACTGAGCGACCTCTAGTTTAGTTTATTTACTTAGAGGACATGTTATGGTCTTGAATAAGCATGTTTTACTTTCTTTTCTTCCATTTAGAAAATGCTAATTGACTGAGGCACATATGAAACTTTGGCCTGTGTTCCAGAGAGTCAAAGAACTGTTAGAAAGCAAGACTTGAAAATTAACCTGTGTTCCATTTTAGCCCAGATATAATATCTACCCTTATCACACCAAATAAAATTAAGTAAAAGTGGTCATCGCTACAATATTACATTATATTGAATGCAAGTGGATTTCATATACTTGCAGACAGTTCTTAAGTTCATAGAACATTTTGTAGTGATTGGGCAGAAACAGTCAGGCCAACATTTACTAATACATTTAATAAGGTATAATTACATTTGCTGCATACCAACAACTGCATGAAAAGTATGTATTAAGGAATGATAAATTCCTCCATTCCCCAAAAAGCCCTGTGTTTTTACTGTGTTAAATATTCTAATTCAGTGATCCATGTTATAAATATTTTGCATCTGTTTCATTGCCTTGAGAAAATCTGTGTGGCTAGAAGCAAGAATACTACTACGCAAATGACATGTTTCACTGAAATTTTCTATTGCTGCTGTCTAGTCAAGAAATAAAACCAACGTACTGCACTATAATATACACTATTTGCAATCATAATTCTATGATAAAGTGATTGCTTTAGGATAGTATAATCTAAATACTTAGTTTCTAATTAAAATAGGGGATATGAACACAGTATGTGTGAAATACTATCCTAAATTTATGAAAGTTTAAAGGTGACTGATAAAACCAGGAACAACATGAAAATTTAATCTGTATCTAGCATTTTACAATGCTGAAAAGGTATCACAAAACAGTAATTTGTTCCAGGATTTTATCTTACTTACACGTAACTGATAGATGTTAACAACCATTAAAAAATTTGCCTCTAAAGCTGATTAATGGATAGAAGATATTTTTCTCACATGTAGCAACTGCACCAACTAATTACCCAATGAAAAGGATTAATGTTTGTAACAAAAGAGCAAGGTAAGTATACAATAGATATTTTGAGAAGGTCATTGTGTTGCAGTTAAGATTTGACATGCCTTGACTTCAAGAATCACATGTCAATCTCTAATGTGACCAAAATTTCCGGTTAAAACAACCTATCTTCTTTTTGAAATTGCTAAATACCATCTGAAGCAAAATCAAGATACATTAAGTACGTATAGGAAATTTTTAAACATGTCTCTCCATTATGTAGTTGTCAGTTTCCACATAGCAACTATGGAGAAAGATGTGCTATATATGTAAGTGATAATGCCCTAGTAGAACACTGAAATTAAAATTTAAGGTTACATTACACTATTGCTTCGTATTTTTTAAACAAAGATTCACATATAAAGGGAGGTCAGAGTACTGAAGTGAGCTGCTTTCAGTCCTCTTTGAAGGTTAAATTATATCGTGCAGTAGTCCCAGATTTCTGAAAAAGGCTAGTATTTCAATAGCTATTTTGTATATGAAAACCAACAACAGATGGGGCACCATACTTACAAAATAATGTGCCAAGGGATCCTGTATATGTCTTTTTTGAAACAAACTGGCAAGGACATGAACTTCAAATGTAATTCAAGAAATCACAATAAAAGGCAGTCTATGAGAATAATGAAACATCAGACAAAATATGTGCAGTTTTACTTAACCAGGTAAGCTTTAGAGTCTTCCTTTGAACCCCTCCATATAAGAATACATACAAATGACATGAAAGGGGGAATATTTAGGAGACTGAGTAAGGCGAGGGACAAAAGAAAGCATCTTTAATTAACAGCAAAACCCCCACACTGGTTATGAATAAGTAAGAAAGAAAAAAGATGTGACTCTGCATCTCTCAACCACTTAAGTTTCAATGCTCTATGTATTAAGCAAAGTCTTTTTAATTACTTTTTTTCTATATACGCTAGAATTGAGGGTATTTAACTTTCACAGCAGTTAAACAAAATTGTGCAATAATTCATTTTCAACTACAGTGATTGCTCATGAAGTTGCTAGCTCACAAGAACACATGTAAGAAGCCTGTCTCATCCTTTTCTAACATGGTATGGCTTTGGAGGGAAAAAGCTCAAGTCTGCTGAACTCTTCAGAATAAGAACATTTTTTACCAGCAGCATGAAATTGAAATTTTGTGAAAAACAAAAAAACAAATAGAAAAAAAGTATATTACTATATACATAATCTAATTTATTTTTATCAGAACACAGACATCTGCATGATTCAACACCAGCTTGCATATGCAAAAGAAAAACAATTCAACAGGTTTTAAATCTTGGAAAGCATCTGAGGTTTGTGCTGGTTTCCTGCTGAACTGTAGCTCAAAATAGCTGCCAACTGCTAATTGACTAAATTATCGTGGACACACAAGTTTGAAAATAACATGAGGAATAAAATCTCCAACATGAAAGCAAAATGTAGAAACACAGGAATAAGATTTGATAAATTGACACATCTGTATGAACTACATATATGCTTAAAAACCCACATACTATTACTATTAAAGAATAAATAGAACACCTTCAGGTGACTTTCATTTGGCTAAAACATTTCAATTCACATACACAGTCTCTTCTTGAACAAATAAGTTTAAATATAAATGCCCTCTAAGTATTAGTTCTAAGTTAAATTCTGTACAAACCTTCATTAGTTTAAATTGACTACAGAATTTTACTTAAAATTATTTTTTTAAAATTACATTTTTTGAGCTCTCTTTTGACGTTTTGGGTCTGCTGTTACTAGCCTACATATTACATACCAAACCCCACACCCCCACACCCCATTCTGAAATGGGAGGAGTACTACAATTAGAAGAAACTATCCATATTTTTTTTGTTTTAAGATAATCAAAAGAATATTTGCCCCACAAACACCTAACTCCACAGAGAGAGAAAGACCAAAATCACAGATTTTAAATGTATTCAGAAATCTGGTGAAGGGTTTTCTGGTCAAAAATTAAGTCAGTTTTCCTATGAAATACAAACATTTTTTTTCCCCAAAGAAGTAACTCACAACGTTTAAGATAAAAATTTCAAGGAATTAATTCCTGGTATGATCTAGCACAAAATGATTCACTGTGAGTGTGATAAAATGCAATCTGTGTAAAGGTACATAATGAAATCACCTAGACTAAAAGCTGGTAAATTAGAATATTTGGAAACCAAAGCTTTCTTTATCAGAAATGAAACTAACTCCTTTCTATCATCGCGCTACCTTCACAATTCCTACTTCAGAACTAAAGTACCAGATCAAATCTACATGCTCTTTCCAAGCCATTATGAAAATGAATGGAAAGTGGGGCTTTCCAAGCAGGCAAAACAAAGAAACAAATATAGAAAAGAGACACACACCCCCACCAAATCTTACTTACAATTTTCTCATGCTATGATAGCAGTATTAATTTTCTTCCTCACTTGATCATTCAGAAAAAAAAACCAAAAACAAACCACCAAAAAACACTAACCAAAAACCCCAAAACCAACCAAAAAACACAACCAACCAAAAAAGAGCCTCCACGCAGTCCTCCAGCCACCCTAAACCACAAAAAACCCCACATAAACCAAAGAGCTTTTGAATCATGTCTTCACAACAAATGTTCAAATTAAAATTCCTGTATCTTTTATTCAAAGATACAAAAAAACCCACATGCTGCTTTCATACCTGCATATGGGTTAACAATGTCACAATGAAACAAGAGTATTTATTTAAAAAGTAATCTAAAAGTCATAGCAATGACCATGGATAACATTAAAGAAATAAATAATCTCCTTATGCTGCTGTTCTTCCTCAAATATGGTTTTGTTCAAAATTCTCCAATAAACAGAACTACAGTTCACTAAGAAAAGGTGTAATTAATGTATTCAACTGTACTGCACAAATGTGTCAACATTTAAAAAAATGTTCTTTAAAGAAGTCTCATTAAGAGCATAATCTCACACTTAAGATTTTTTTTTTTCTAGTCTATGCACTTTAAATAAATAAAGTTGAAGAAACACAGGAAATTTCATTACACCTTGGGATTTCAACACTTCCATAAATTACACAGGTATAAAAAGCACCTCATAAACAGTCATCAGTTTCATAATGTGAAAATATACTTGGAGTAACATCACAGCAAAATGAAGTCATACATGAACATGTATTTTCTCTCCTCCACCTTATAAGAGTTCTAGCTTTGGCACCATGTATGATGTTTTCATGTATTTTAACAGAGAATTTAAAAAAAAGCAGCGGATTGACCTTTCCTACTTGTTGCAACAAAAGGAAATAGAAAACAGCTTAAAAAAAATAATAAATCACTCACTCATACATGTAAACTTGAAAGATTCCATTGCCAAAGCGAAAACTGAAAAAGTAAAACTTGGTTCACTAAGTCTAATTGTGTAGGGCCAACCCAAAAATTAATCATTAATTTTCTGAACTGTAACTACTCAACTATGAGGATAAACTCTCCAAGTTCTAAAATACGAATATTAATAAATTACATGTATGTCAAAAAATTAACAGGTACGTTAACTTTCAAGATGCATCCATTCAGATAAGTTTTGTAACATTTACCTGTATCCAAGCGCTTTACAGGGGACTCATCATCAACCTCAGAATCTCCACATGCACTCCTTGATCTTTTCCTTGGGTGCAGAAGTGTCTCCAACCTTGGAAGGACTACAGACAAAAAGGTTTTGGTCCCTAGCTGTGGAGAAGTTGGCTGGGTTTCAGTGTTCTTTGCAGACTTTTGGGGGCTTATACTTTTCGATTTGCAGAAGAGAATGGATGTACGTCTGTTTACATCAGTTGATGACTCAGCTACAGCAGAAACAGTCGACTCATTGAGATTACTGTCAAGTAAATGTTCTGGAGTGTGTCCATTTATTTCTTTCTGAATGGAAGTGCTATATAATTCATTATCAAATTTTACTCTTTTGTAAAGCTTACTCTGCTCTGGATTGAGTTCTACTGGTTTGAGGGTTGGTGGTTCTGAATTAGTCTCCAAGTTTGAAGGAAGAGGTAATGCATCTGATGGTTCAAGTTTAGGGGGAGATTTATCTCCTGAAAAAATTATAAATAGAGTGTGATTTTTGAAAACCTGTAGTTATAAAGTCTATTATAAAACTCACTATAAATGTGCAGCCCACCAAATATATTGTTGTTTGGAAACAAAGCATAACATTTTAAAAACAAACCTTGTCTAGCAACAACCTGTCCTAGTTAGTCGTTCCTACTTTTATATTGGGAATGTAACAGGGAGAGAAAAGTAGGTGTTTATAGTTGGTGTTAACAATTTACACCCGGATAAATACTTTTTACTTCTCATGCAGTTATGTTAGTTTCATTAACTAAAAACTAAAAAATCTATTTTTTAAATAGGAAGTTGGGGTGGTGGACGATTATCTGTTAATGCAATTACACTGCCATTCAAGTAAAATTTTTTGTAATATACATTTTCATCTATTTCACCTTATCAATATTCACCTTACGTGCCTAAGACAAATTTGTATCCTGACCTACTAGAAAGAGCTAAAACGTGTTATAAAATTTACAGAAAGGTGCAATTTGCAGAGCTGTTTTACAGCTCTAGCTAGAAGTTTTATGTACCAAAAATAAACTTAAAAAGGGGAGGGGGGAAAAAAAACCCACCCCAAAGTCTTGCAGCTTGATTAGCCACTAGTTGTCAAATACACACTTGACAATGCAGACTTGATAGGAGAAATCAGAAAAACCACCCTCTACCATTTTTTTAATTTTTTTTTTTTAAATACATGATCATGTCCCAGTAAATTCCACTAATTTCATGCTGGGAAAAGACAATGGAGATGTAACTGTGAGCATATAAAACTAGTTTCAGTTTTTCATCCCAAGCAATGGGATAGAAAATAAACATTCTACTGTTGCAGCATTTCCAAATACAAGCAGAAGAACTTCCTAACCCATAATTATGAATTAAAAAAGATGTTAAAACCTTTCTAGCTTCTAAAAGAATCTTTTAAAATATAAAATAATAATAAGAAAGATGATGCTTATTCTGGAGTAACTGTATGAGACCAGCATAATATTTACATTATCACATGAAATTTTAAAAAGTTTAGTTAATTTTTCTATGCCATCTGAAAAAAAAGCAAGGGTTTAAGTCCTGTATCTGTAGTTAATTAAATATTATCTCTACATTGTTTTGATTTTGGTTCAGCAATTCTTACGTGGAAGTCAATGACTTGTAAGTGCAGAAAAATCTCTACCCCATTTTGTAAGGTTTAATCAAACAGCATAGTTCATGTTAAAAATATATTGTTAAAATGAAGTGTGACTATACTTACACCCTTTGAAGGCATGTAAGTTTTAGAACCAGTAAATAATATTTCAGGAAGACATTCAGAATTATATTTACAGTCCAATAAGCACATCTGAAGTACCACCAATTAAAAAAGCCTGCAGTTTAGAATGTCCAAGGCAACTGTTCTTTATGAACAAATTATGATTTTCTTACAATTAATCACAAAATAGTTTAAGCACAGAAAAACACTGGAGAACTATTTAGACACTAAAACTTAAATTTCATGGGGCTATTCTGGAACCACATTTTTCACATGATCAGAAACTGAGAACAGAATTGCCAGGGGGTAATTCACAACAAAATATCCTAGGCACAGGATTCTGCTACTTTCCTCATCTTTTTGGCAATTTGTTTACTCCTTGAAGTACCTTCCATTTAAAAGTTCAAATTTGAACTAGTGACTATCACTCTTCACTAGATCAGAACTGTAACGACAATGCAAATCAACTCTGGATCATGCTCTTCACTATGTGGCTTTTTTTTTTAAAGCGTACTGTAAATATACGAAACCAGCTACTGCTCACTTTTGGACTATTTTTTTGCACAACAGCTGCAGTGAAAGGCTGTGTCATAAAAATGTTAAGCTACAAGTAAAATAGTTAGTGTATTCATTATCTGCCAGAAACTACATTCTTAAAGAACTATACTCACTAGCATCATCACTCAAAGATTTATAACAACCCTAATTTAAAAAAAAAAAAAAATTTAATACCTAACAGCCTCAGAACAAGGTAAGTGTGCTGATTCATGTACACTTTTTCTATTATTGTTGTTCAAATCTCAAGCAAGTTATACGTTTGAAAAGCATTCTCTTAGTCATACTAAGAATTAAATCCCAAGTTGCTGTCTGAATGGCAGTTAAGGACAGTCATTTTATTGACTCCACCTTTCAAAAATTTTGATAGCATCACGCTGCACCAGACACAGACTATTTTATTTATTACCATGCTTCCACTTTCCCTTAAGCTATTTCCTCCTCCCATTCAGTGCATTATTCAAAATGAAACACATCTCTAACTCCCCTAAAGAAAAACAGGTTAGTTTTTAGAGAAGAGCTGATCGTGAAAAAAACTCAGTAAAACTTTTTTTTGAGACTAGATTTTTTTTTTGCATCATTTAAAAATGAGCAATAAACACCTCAGTAACTGATTTAAAAGTTAAAAATGCAAATAAAATATTCAACTGAAATATAAAGTTAGATCTTTCTAGTATATTGCTCTCACTGAAATCAATGGGAATTAGCTAAGAGTAGATGCAGTTCTGAGATGAATGCTTTGAGGAGGAAGACAAGCACAAGGGGAAGGGCTGCTTAGATATGGCTGACTTGATTTGGCAACATGAAGTTTGTTAAGTCCTATCAATAGCTTTATTGAAAAAACCAAATTAATTTAAAAAAAAAAAACAACCCAAACCTACCCTCCACCCTCCACCCTCCCCAGACTCTGGAGTAGAGAATAACAAAGCTATACAAGACAGTATACAACAGCCAGTTTTCTGCACAACTGATCTAGGTTCACATGATGCCTAATACATATTTTAGCATTTAAGTGGATTTCTGAAAGTACAAAGATGTTTTCCACTCAGGCATTTCCAATTCCTTTTCATATGAGATTGTTTGTACTTTCATTTCTTAACACCTAAATTTTTAAAAAGCCTTGCTATTGTGAAAAATAATGGAGGGAGGTTTTGTTTAAAAAGATCATTCTCATAATTTTTAAATATTTTTTGTGATTAAGTTGTTATTTGACCATTTAAAAAATCAATATAATCTTCATTTATTACACTTTTTAATGTGTAAAAAAAAATATTTTTAATTCACATGATTAAAGCACCTGACTGAAGAGGTTCAGAACAGTACTGATTTAAACATAATTTAAAATCTTACCTTCTTCTTCTCCGTCTTGTTCTAATGCTGCACTTTCTTCTTCAAAACTTCCAATACCTGATTCTATTTGAGGAGCTTGGTTGTGTTGCTGACTTAGTTTGTTGCGGATAATGCTGATTTCTTTCTTTAACAGCTTTGCTCTTTTGCTCCTTGACCCACTGGATTTCATTGCACAGGTGAGATCAAGTTTTTCTAGCAATTCTCTCAGCTGTTCTTCCAAGGACATATGTGCTCTGTTTGCAGGATTCAGTAACCTATCCACTGAAGTCAAAATATGTATAATTGAAAATGTGCTAGTGTTTGTTAGAATATTTCACACAGTAATAATATTAACAGGAGGAAGAAAACATGAAATTCACTTGCCTGAATCAAAAAATGTAAATCAAAAGAAGCTATTTAGATTATAGGCTTAATAGCTTTACCATTACCAGTGAAGAAATGTTGAAATGAATGCCTACTATATAATTACTATTCTTCTTGATAAGCATTTTGCTCAAGAACACCAAGTAATAGGGCAAAGAATTAAAAGGTCAGAAGGAAGATATAATTAATCCTTCCCACCCTAATAGATGATTTCCTTCTTGTAGAGATCGGCAAGACTATGGTTATGAGAGAAATGTATTAATTATTCTCCTTTACTGTCAAAATCTCAGTCACTTTAATTCCTGGTATTACAAACGCACTTGATTTTTTTAATTCAGTATGTTAAGAATGTGCATAAGTTTATGCACACTGGTAGTCATTTTCCATGACTTACAAGCATATATAATCATGTGAAAGTGCTCAATTTAAAAACCTTTTTCATTTCTCTTGTTAAATTAGGCTCTGGCATGGTCAAAATCAGAATCTGGATAACACTGTTTCCTAAATGACAGATCTAGTTGAATACAAACAATTGAATCCTTCAAGCAATGCTTTCAAGGTGGGGGATCTAGTCATCAAACTGAACAGCAGCAAACTTAAAACATCTGTATGGAATGTACGCACTGTGTGTTAATGAAAATTGCAACTTTTACAAATAATCCAAAAACATCTTACCATCTTCCCAAGAGAAAGGCTGGGGTGACTCAAGTTTAGGCCGTTCAGGTAAGTGCATTCCAGTTTCATTATTATAACCGATTCCTTCAGCATCTCGCCTAGCTTGCCTGAGAACTACACCTCCTTGATCTCTTAAGCGCACTGCAGCTCTATAGAATATTGTATCTTTTGCATTGTATTTCATACAGTTATCTATGATAAGATTGAAGTCTTCTTCGAACTCACTGAGGTTTTTATAGCCTTGAGCATCTAACCGTTTCCGCATGGTAGAGAAATCCATAGGATGTTTTATATGATCCAAATAGTCTGGAACCTTTGAATAAATATTTAAAACATGAATGGGTAAAATTACCTTATTACAGAAAAAAAAGTAACATTAGATCTTAACTGATCCCCATTTTTTGACATATCTTGCAAGAACTCAAGAACTTCAAGATGTAGCTTAGAATTGCACACTCTGATAATGCAAATGTTTGCATGCCAACAGAGGTTTGCTTATTAGAAGACTGCATCTTAGCTAACAAGTTGGAGCTCTATTAACAGATGCTGGAACTACATGTTTTTAGAATTCTGTGGTTTTATGTACATAGTGTGTGTATTTATGAATATCATACTTATAAATGTATGCATCTATACATATTTACACACAAGTATAATCTATACATATGTAGTATATGCACTCATACATATATATACAATCTATACACAAACACACACCAATATGTTAATTACACATGTATGTGTTGCATATGTACGTATGCGAACATACAGATGTGCACGTAATACTGAGACTAGTTTCTCAAGTGAATGAAAAGGAATATCACGCATAAGTAAGACACAGTATCCACATTTCAATTTTTAAAACACCCTTTGAGTTCGCTTAATCAAATAATCCTAGTGCAAAAGATCATTACGTACCCATGTTACTCTATAACAGTATTTCCCAGAAATTATTTTGGTATATAACCATAAATAGATTTTCATACCAGTAAGTCATAACTCAACATAAATTATCAGAATAGATTAAAATGTAACACTGCTCCCTGCTCTGCATGCAATGATCTGTTTCTTGTACTTAAGTGTCACCAAGACATATCAGACATAAGGAAATACAGCTTAAAACATACCTCTTTAAGGTTCACTGGCTGAGCAAATATACGGGCAGAATCCTTTTCCTGCAGCTGATCCAGAACTGATCGCAGAAGTACAGTGAATGGAGTAAGCTGAAGTTCCATAGCAACCTGCTCAATCTTGACCTAAAGAAGTAATAATTATCCAGTTGAGCATTTTTCATTAAGATACTGTTTTGAAGTTGTTTTGCATCAACAGCAAAGTACTTCAGGTATGACATACAATATAAATATATTAAAGTAAATGAGTTCAATGCTACTTTCCATATCATCAGTTGGCATTTGTCTGACATATATTTTCAGCTGATGACTTTGTAAGAAAAATAATTTTCATCCCTTCCTTGCAGACTCAACTCCAGCTTCTTAGAACTCAAATTTTATTTTATCTATAAATGAATTCTGTTTCATTTTTTAACTGTATTTCTTTTCTTTGAAAATATGTTACATAAGAACAGCTTCCTATTTTGCCAACAATGCAGAAATAAGAATTTAATGGTAATATGTTTAAAATTAAATTTCAATTAATTTTAAATTAGTTCCATGTTCAAAGTGTATAAAGAAAATTTAATGAACATTTACAGGCTACATAAGACCAACGCAAAGAGTAATTTTAAAGACAGTGTTCTCTATAAATTCCAAGAAAATATTTTTTTAAAAAACCTACTAACAACATCTTCAAATACTTGATCATCCTTCAGAATTTTCATTCTTTTTGACAATATTACAATTCCTCTACAGTTTCATTTTCAAGCCACTTAAATAGTTATCAACACTGAACCAATCTTGTTATGGCAAAAATAGATTCTTCATGACACATTAATGGAGTGTGTTTATATATATATATATGAACATCTAAACAAAGTATACACAAACATACACACACACATAAAATACAATGTGTATTAAAAAAAAAAACAAAAAACATGCATATAGCAAGTGATATGTGAACGTACAGGAATGATGTATGGAATTCCAGAAAGCATTAAAGAATTACAAACTATATTAGCTTGCAATGAATGTTCACAGCTTCCAAAAACTAAAAAAGGAAATATTTTCACAAATAAGGACAATTAAAGACTCGTAAGGGCAAACATTTTGCTTTCACAGTTTTCATATCAAATACATTATTTCTTCCTCAACTCTCTTCTCCCAGCAGTGTCAACTCTAGATTGTCATAGGACACAGATGAAGCTTTTTTGGTATTTTTTTGTCAACAGAAGAATGTAAGTGATGCTCAGTATAAGCACATGTATTGGGAAAACCTGAAGAGATCAAGTTTTCTACAGTTCTCCAGAAACCAATTGTCTTTGCAAGTCTTAACAGAATGGCTTGTTAAATAATTTCTTTACACCAATGAACACGGCATAGGCAACAAACAAGAGGAGTTGGAGGCCACCATGCTGCTAGAAAGCTATGACCTAGCTGCCGTTACTGAAACCTGGTGGGACAAATCCCATGACTGGAGTGCGGCTATTGATGGCTGCAGGGTGTTCAGAAGGGACACGTGAGTAAGGAGGGCAGAGGGGTTGTCCACTACAACTAGAAAAGGATAGATTGTGAAGCGCTGTCTCTGAAGAGCCATGAGCAGGTTGAAAGCTTATGGATAAGAATTAGAGACCGAGGCAGCAAAGGGAATCTTGTGGTTGGTGTTTACTACAGGCCACCCCATCAAGGGGAGCCTTTTGATGATGCATTCTTATTCCAGCTACAGGAGGCATCATGTTCATAGGGTCTTGTCCTGTTGGGGGGCTTCAACCACAACATCTGCTGGAAAAGTAGCACAGTGAGCTGCAGACAATTCAGGAAACTCCTGGAATGCATTGAGGCTAACTTCTTAAACCAAATAGAAAGCCCTACTAGAGGGGATGCGATACTGGACCTATTAGTCACCAACACCAGTGAGTCCCGAGACATCAGGATTGGAGGCAGCCTGGGCTGCAATGATTATGCACTGGTGAAGTTCACAGTCCTGAGGGATATGGTTCAGGCAAAGAGTAAAGTCAGGACCCTGAATTTTAGGGAAGCAAAATTCCAGCTGTTCAAGGATTTTGTCAGTTGGACTCCTTGGGAAACTGTCCTCAGGGACAAGGCAGAAGAACAGAGCAGGCAGATCTTTAAGGATGCTTTCCACAGAGCACAAGAGCTCTCGATCCTCAGGTGTAAGAAATCAGAAAAGTAAGGCAAGAGACCAGCATGGATGACTCGAGGTCAAAATAAGGGCAAGAAAGAAATGCACAGGCAGTGGAAGAAGGGACAGGTATCCCAGGAAAAGTATAAGGACATAGCCTGGTTGTATAGGGATGGGGTCAGGAAGGCCAAGATGCAGCTGTGGCTGAACTTGGCCAGGGACACAAACAATAACAAGGGCTTCTACAAGTATGTCAGCCAGAAAATGAAGGTCAAAGAAAGTGTACCCCCCTCTAATGAATGCAACTGGAGAATTAGTAACAACACCTGAGGAGAAGGCTAAGATATTAAAAGTTTTTGTCTCAGTCTTCACTGTCAACCTCTCTTCCACACCTCTTGAATGGACAGACCTCAAGGCAAGGACTAGTAAAGTCCCTCCCTCTATAAGAGGTTAAGTTTGTGACCACCTGAGGAACCTGAACATACATAAATATATAGAACCTGATGAGATGCATCCCAGAGTCCTGAGGGAAATGGCTGATGCAGTTGCCAGGCCACTCTCCACAATACTTGAAAAGTCATGGCAATCAGGCGAAGTCCTTGGAGATGGGAAAAAGGAACACATTGCACCCAATTAAAAAAGGGTGGAAGGAAGGACCCTGAGAACTACTGACCTGTCAGCCTCACCTCTGTGCCTGGGAAGATCGTGGAACAGATCCTCCTAGAAGCTATGCTAAGGCACATGGAGGACGGGGAGGTTATTCCAGACAGTCAGCATGGATTCACCATGGGGAGGTCTTACCTAACCAACCTAATGGCCTTCTGTGATGGAGCGACTACATCAGTGGAGAAGGGAAGACTTACTAATGTCATCATGGACTTCTGTAAGGCTTTTGACACAGTCTCCCACATACTTCTCTCTAAATTGGAGAGATATGGATTTGATGGGTGGACTGTTCAGTGGTTAAGGATTTGGCTGGATGGTCACATCCAGAGGGTACCGGTCAACAGTTCAGTGTCCAAATGGAGATCAGTGATTAGTGGTGTCCTTCAGAGGTCCATATCAGGACCAGTACCGTTTAATATCTTCATCAATGACACAGTGCGAGATCAAGGGCACCCTCAGCACATCTGCAGACAACTGCTAGCTGAGTGGTGTGGTTGACACACTGGAGGGAAGGGATGCCATCCAGAGGAACCTGGAGAAGTGGGCCCACGCAAACCTCATGACATTCAGCAAGTACAAGTGCAAGGTCCAACACCTGGGACAGGGCAATCCCCAGTATCAATACAGGCTGGGGTATAAAGAGATTGAGAGCAGCTCTGTGGAGAAGAACTTGTGGGTATTGGTGGGTGAAAACCTGGACGTGACCCAGCAATGTGCACTCGCAGCGTAGAAAGGCAATGGTATCCTGGGCTGCATCAAAAGAAGTGTGGCCAGCAGGTTGAGGGAGGTGATTCTCCCCCTCTACTCCACTCTCGTGAGACCCCACCTGGAGTACTGTGTCCAGTTAAGGAGTCCTCAGCACAGGAAAAACATAGATGTGCTGAAGCAGGTCCAGAGAAGAGTGACAAAACTGATCAGATGGATAGAACACCTCCCCTACGAGGACAGGCTGAGAGAGTTGGGGTTGTTCAGCCTGGAGAAGAGAAGGCTCTGGGGAGACTTTATAGCTGCCTTCGAGTACTTAAAAGGGACTTACAGGAAAGATGGAGACATACGTTTTACAGGGCCTGTTGTGGTAGGACAAAGGATAATGGTTTTAAACTGTAAGAGGGTAGATTCAGCCTAGATATAAGGAAGAAATTTTTTATGATGAGGGTGGTGAAGCAGTGGAACAGGTTGCCCGGAGAGGTAGTAGATGCCCCAACCCTGAAAACATCAGGTCAGGTTAAACAGGTATCTGAGCAATCTGATCTAGCTGAAGATGTCCCTGCCCATGGGACAGAGGCTGGACAAAATGATTTTAAAGGTCTCTTCCAACCCAAACTATTCTATGATTCTGTGATAATTCCATATATTTTAAACAGTTTGCATGAGTGTACGCATGCTTTTAAACAGTTTGCGTGAGTGTACACATATGTTTCTTGATCCTACATAAGGATTACAAGACAAACACTTCAGTCTCTCTATTGCAAAAACTGTGTGTGAGAATAGTTAAATTATCTTTCCTTCAGAAACGTTTCATTAAATTAGAAGGTACTCCATTTACCTGTTCTCTTTTTAATTTTTCACGCTTACGTATAAGTTCAATCAACAAACGGGCTCTTTCAAGATCATGGCGCAGCCTTTGCCAGTACTTCAATTTTTCTTTTAAGGCTTGCATTTCTTCATCATCTTCTCTCTAAGAAAAGAATCAACAGGTGTTCATGAAATGAAAAATGCTTACCTCTTTTTATAAGCTAGTTTTATGCAATTACAGAACGTATTCACAGCAAAGGAGAAACTACTGTCTTACAGTTACAGCACTTGGTCATAAACTTCATACTGCAACAAAAGAAAACCTCTTGTCAGGGTATGTTCTAGAATTTCTCGATCATCTAGCTGAAAATAACATCTATAAACTAGAAAGCAATCCTATGGTGAAGGCTATTTACATCAGAAGTAGCAATACAGCAAACAGCAACCTAGCAGTGTAACAGGCTGTAAAATTAAATCCAGTATTTTCACATCAAAATCCAAGCTAGGTGAACATCATCAGCTTCCTCAGAAACTCAAGCCTAATAGAAAAAAAAAAATTCTTGTTCTGCTCAACACAGTCCACCTCCCCAGCACTCAGCAGAATTAGGACACACTTGCAACGAACAAAATCATTATGAATTGTGAGGACAGGAAATGTAAAGCAGTTTATTAAATAATACAGCAATTTAAAAATGGTATTGCAAATGGGTACAACATTTCAGTGAACTGGTTTGGAAAATCTCTACATTTAAAAGTATTGTATAAAAAGAGTCTCAGAAAGAGACCCAAAACTTTGTATGCTTGCCTGTAACTAGTGTAATGCAATATACACTAGATAAATAATGGTCATACCGTTTTTTCTAAAAAAAAACCCCAAATAACAAATGCCATAAAGTATATTAAAAAACAGAGAAACAAAGAAAACCTGCTAAGCAGACGAAAAATGATCAACATTACAAACTGTTACACTCAAAGCAAAAACCTCCTTAAGAGAAGGATAATTCAGAAATACATAGATCCTCTGAAGGAAGCTTGTGCAATTTCTCAGACAGAAGGTTCTAAAATTAGAATTCAAAAACTGGCAATTTAAAAAAGTATCTAATAAGATTTGTGAGTGATATGATTTTATGATCTGCATCACATTTTATTACTTTACACACTTCATAGAAGTAAAGGCAAGAAGTAAAGGCAAGTGTGGAAGCTATGAAGTTGGTTTTATGCAAATCTCTGACTTCACTCAAGTTGAAAATGCTTAACTATCAACTATCTCTGTATTATAAAATAGCAATCTGGAAACAACAGTTTGTTCCTCTTATAAAAGAAACAAAAAGAAAAAGAAACAAAACACCACACCACAAAAAAGAGACCAAAAATTGTAGCTAGAAACTTCTAGTTCACTTTCCTAATGACTATTAGTATTGAGAGTTATAATTTCATTTAACAAGTTAACTCTTGACTTAGACATTTAATGATTTAACTGTTGGGGTTCAGAATAGTTCAAAGTAAGTTTTGACAATATTAATATGCACATTTTCAATTCCTTAAAATTCTCAGAGATTTACTGAATTAGAAAATCTACACTGCCACTAACTGCTGGTCTCCTACACCTCTTTATCTCTCAGCACAGATCCCATGCGTGAAAAGCAAACTAACTGTTAACTGACATAGCTATACAATTTTTTTCATAGTTTTACTGTTTCTCAGGATCAAAATTAGGTTGTAGCTATTTCTAAAAGTGGAAGGCTTGTCCTCCCCTTTGCTGCCATTCAGAGTCTGCTCTTTTGCCCTATATAATTGCACAGTTTATGAAACTGAAAAAACAAACCATACTACTTTCAGGGGATCATGAAAGTTAAATACAGCAAGAAAAATAAAAGTTACTTTGTACATCAGGTATTGGGGTAGATCCTTAGAGACTTAAATATTTGGTTAAACCTGAAGGTGCAGTCTCACTTCTTTGAAAAAAAAAAACAAAACAAAAGATTATTCTTTTAGTTGAATCAGTTGTTTGACCAATTCCATTCCATAAAATAGATAGGTAGGTGTAAATCTTCAGATGTGACCCAAAGTATCAAGAGCACCTTGTTTGGTTTTTTGTGTGCACACATTCACTCCCCACTTGAACATCATTCTTGCCTGGGGATTAATAGCAAGCCTCCAAATTTTTAACACAGCTATGCAAAGTAATGTTGGCAGACACGGTTATGGTTATAACAGCCAAGATAAAACCCCTTTACCCTAACCTGTTTATTACCTAATATACAACATATACCTTAATTAGATTAAAAGATCCAGGCAAGCTGAAAAGAGCATGATGCACTGGCTTCCAGTATCTAACTAGTAAAAACTTGGATAAAAAGTTTCTTTCAAAATTTTTAGTTTTCAAAAGCTTTCCTATTAACTTCCTGGTAAAGAGTTCTTCCAAATCATTCTTTCTGTAACAAAGCCAGAAAGTTTCTTCTGGCTGACAAGACAAGAAAATTTAGAAAGAAAGTCTGTGGTACTTTCTGATGGACTCAGTTCTTGCTGAACACCAAATACTATCTAGAAAAGCTAAAATTGATACATTTATTAATATTGAGGGAAGAGGTAAACACTTCTAAATTTACACACAGAACATGCATTAACTGAGAACTGGTCTTCACCTCCAGCTCCTACCATGAGTATGTTACCAGTCATAACATACGAGCAGGAATACTGTCGATATACCAACAGATCACTCCTTATGCTGGATGTGAATACATGGGGACAGCCTCACTCTCTACAGAGACTGTAACTTAATATGAGCCAAGCAAAAACAGAATTACAGTGATGGAACTGGATCTTGATCAATACAGTTTTATGAAGACCCTCTGCTGCCACTTGTACGCCAATCAGTCAAAACCATTTACTGGTTTCAACTTGTGTTCTTACTGAAATTTTCAGTGCAGATATGACCTGTCACCAGCACCTTCTCACTTTGTTTCTCTCAACAGCAGTTTTAAACCAACCTCACTAAAGCAGCAACAAGCTACTACACTTACATTTCATGTCTTATTTTTATTCACGCATTAAGTATAGAAAAAAACTAAAATAATGGGGATGTAAATTTATTAGAGTCTTTCCAATACCTGTCCTGAATTTCTAGGTAGAAAGAGGAGTGCTGGTATAAACCACTCTTTCAGAGAGGTTCCTTGTCCCTGCAGATGGTGAGTTAGTATATAAGCCAAGATCTTCTTGCCTTGTTTAGAACTGTTTGTCGATATAGCATCACCTTCAAAAGCATATAATAACTGAGCTCTGAAACATGTTCATTAGTAATTCATTCTAACTCAAACACTTCCCCCCCCTGCTAAATTTGTTCTATTAAACAAACATTAAATAGGGATGAAAATCACATTCCACTAGGCATCCTGAAAACCATTTTCAGGGTTTTGGTTCCTCATCTCAACATTTCAGTTTAATCATTAAAAAAAAAAAAAAAAAAAAAAAAAGTCCTCTGAACCTACATTGCAGTAGGTTCATGTTTCTCTGACTGAAAAGCTATTCAGGTTTCTTGACATTCTGACCTCTCGCATAAAAGGAAAAAAGAATTTTCTCATCTAGATCAAAATGAACAAAATAATCATCTGTACCTCAAAAATGTTGAGGCTTTCTCCCAACAGCTATGCCACAGCTGTTTACTGAACTCTTCATTATGGTTTGGGTTATAGTTAGAGTAACGAAGATGACTAATGAATCAAATGCTTTGCAGTTATGACTACTTTAATAGGTATTATAAATACATACAGAGGATGCTATGGAGAAGACACAATGTCATACACAGGACACTTGCTACTCACTGAAAAGCATCACCTACATATTTTTCATCAAGAGAATCATTTAATACTCTGCTTGAAACTAGCTTTTTCTTTACAAGAGACAAAGGTTATTCTTAAAAACTTATTGGAATGAAGTCTCGGAAGTGCCACAATTTTTAATAAACCAATATAGTTTCCAATTAATGGAGAAAATATTATTTTCTTACTGAATAGTACACAGTTCTGAAATTAGAAAGGAAAAGAAAGATATACTGTTTGTACAGGAGCGCAAACGGGCAAAGGGATTTTAAAACAGCTCCTATCTAAGGCTTATTTTATTATAATGAAACATCAGTTATAAGAAACCTTTTACGTTGGTAGTTACTATTTATATATATTTAGAAATGTTGCAGTCTCATCATGCCATCTCAGTAGGAAAAATACTTCCCAACTACCAACTAGCAAGTATTATTTTTTCAGACACTAACTGTAGTCTAGGTCTACACTACAGAAGTCCCAAACTTCTGTGCTTCATTTTATTAATTTTAAGAACTCAAGCTCATTAAAAAAAAAAAAAAAAATCTACTATCTGAATAACTTAATTTCAGCTATTATTAGGTAACTGCAAGGTGGCACTTGTCAGAATGGAAACTTCTCTTACAGAATTAAAAGATTAATCAGAGATTAAAAGTAGAATACAGAATATTTTAGAGAAGTTACAACCCAAATAGGTATTAAAATGTAGTAATTATAGAAGCAATAAAAGATACATAAATAAGTGACCAATTTATATTTAGAATCCACCTAAATTCCACATAAAAGGAATTTGAGCGTTTCGGCTATGAGAAAAGCTGAGAGAGCTAGGACTGTTTAGCCTGGGAAAAAAAGGCTGGGGACGTGGATCTCAAACTTACAAATATACGTGAAGGGAGGGTGTAAAGAAGGTTGAAACAAGATCCTTTCAGTGTGCCCAGAGACAGGACAAGAGGCAATATACACAAAGTGAAAAACAAGAGTCCCTCAGAAGATCAGAAAACACTGTTGTTTTTTTTTTTTATTTTCACTGTGAGGGTGACTGAGCACTAGCACAGGTTGCCCAGGGAAATTGTGGAGTCTCCACCCTTAAGAGATATTCAAAAGCTGTCTGGACATGGTGCTGTGGGGCAACCTGCTTTAAGTGGCCCTGCTTGAGCAGTGAGGTTGGACCAGATGATCTCCAGAGGTCCATTCCAACCTCAGTTGTTCTGGGAATTATTAAATTATCGTTAAAATGACAGATCAAATCATTAGGAAGCAATGTTGACCCATGATATTTTTATGACTACATCAGTAATGACTTAATCAGCAAATAGCAATGCAATCCAAACGAAAATAATAGTTAAGATATAAAGGGAAAAAAAAAAATCACAATTTAATACAAGTAAAAGATTATAAAATGCATTCTTAAGTTCTAGAGGCTATTTTACAGGAACAATTCCACTGGAAACACCTGGAGAACGGAAAGAACACAGCCAACTACTTTTTCAGTTAAATTAAAAAAAGGTAACTGCAATGCAGTAAGAATGATGCTTTACAGCATTTCGAGGTCTACACACATGGATCCATAAACAGAATTCAGAAAAGTAGTTTTAATTATTTTCGAAGCCACCCAGTGACTTGAAATCAAAACAATAAAAGACCTGCTAAAACTTCTACTGTCACTGAAGAGCTGTTCATATTACAAAACTGGGAAGCAGAAGAGTTTTGCTTTCTGAATCTGACTGATACACATCTGGAGTGACTTTTCCTGTTTTTCAGCAATTCCTACTGGTTGTAAACATGTACATCTTTAACCAACTTAGACGTATTTTAGCTAGGATGAGTTTTACTTGAATAAAATATCAGCATAAACTTATGCTTCTCTACAATCCCACCTAAGTGAAACTGAAAGTTTAAACAGGTCTCTGAACTTCATCAACAACTTGCTCTTTGTTCTGTTACTACTAAACAAGGTGGGCAATAAGGACCTGAATTTGAAAACTGTAAACTAGCATGTCTAACCTTTCCTCTGTAAAAATTTCTGGTTTTCTCAGTCAGAAATCAAAAATGACATTTGCTTTACATGATTTGATTAATTTAAGATAAAATAAATTTTTTATCTAACTCATAGCACATTGAGGAATGAGTTCCAAAATATTGCAATACTAGTCAAAGAACAGAAGTATTAGGATAGTTTTGGTGACAGTGTTTTTGTGAAACATTTCAGCAAAACAAAATAAAAACCCGCACAAATTATTCCCCCCCCCCCATATCTCACAAATTAAAAAGGATTAGATAATGTCCGATTTCCAACATAGGTCATATTACTTAAGAAAAAGGTAAAGAATTTACTCAGTCCTGAATAAGAGAAAGTTTTTACTCTGTGCTATGTTTCCTTGTTACTTTTTATTCTATAAAATAAGAGATTTTTCTGATTTCTTCTTGTAAGTAAAAAGTGTGTCACATACCTGTTGTGTGTTTCTTTGTGACTGTAAACTGGACTGCAGCCTTCTCAACAGAGGAACACCATTCCTAGACAGTCTTTTAAGCAACCAGTAACTGTGCACTCGTTCAACAAATTGCTTCTTCCGCTGAATGGCCACCTGATTCATAATCTTATTTAATCTAAAATATGGAAAAACTTATATTGTATTTTTCACAGCAAAGCATAAAACATATTGGTCTACGGAAGATAAACATCATATATATATATATATATATATATATATGAATGTATAACATAACAACAGCAGTGATCGCCACATTCTTTATTTCTTTCAATGATAATCCCTTTCATTAAAATTATTTCTGAGCAGTAGATTACAATCAGATACATCTGCTTGATACTGCAGTTTCTACCAAATACATTAAGATACTTTATAAAGCTAAAGGGTATCAATTTTTTCATGACCATTATCTCAAGAGCAATCCCAGATTAGGGCTGAGAATAAAGCTTTATCTGCATTTCAAAATATAATCAGAAATAAAGAAGCTTTAAAACCCTACAGAAGTTTTCAGATCATTTGTTGCCATCTTCACACAAAATTAGTTTATTTTAAAGGTAATATTTTAAATATTTTAACATAAAAACAAAGTTTTAACATAAAAACATGCAACTAAAAGCTTGCATTGCTCATCTACTAATGTTAAATTTTGGTAAATGTAACAAAAAAAAGTAAAACAGAAGTACACTTATTTTACCTCACGCATATGATGAAAATACCTACACAGAAAATATGCAAGAGAGGATACAAACAATGAAGCAAAATACTTAATAAACAGTATTTTCTCCAAACTCGTTTAAGATGCAAATACTGTTTACAGATATTCTGTTTAGAAATACTGTAAGAAAGTGCTATATGAACATCACATGCAGCAACCTTGACTTCTCTCTTTTTTAAATAATTACATATTAATATGTCCAGGTCTCACACACAACACCAGCCTCTTAAAATTTACATTCAAAAAGTTTATCTGAAATAGATCATCAGCCCTCTGTGCCTACAGTATCCTGAAATCACAGCAAAAAATGTCAAAAAAAGTTAATGGTCATAGAATTAAAAGGTTTTGCCTTTGTAAGATATTGTAGGGGTTTGTCACTGGTGGAAGCAAAATTAACACAAGAGGCCCCAAGACACTATGTTATGGGGATTGTTCATTAGTTTGGGGACAGGGGTGAGCTGGAGTGAGAAAAGGATTTCCCTAAGGATATAAAACAGAGTATTATATGTATAAATGAACAGAAATCTGTTAATTCTTCACTCAGTGTATTACTGCCCATAGCAAAATTCTACAGTGAAGAGTTCTAAATTTATCAGATTCTCCAATAAAATCTAATATCAAATTAGGCAAAATTAAATTCAAGAAGTGTCTGAGTTGTAGAGCACTACCATGAGGTGTTCAAATAAAAACACATAGTAATTTTTTTTTTACTTCTTCCCTTTTAATATTAGGAATAAAGCAGTTTGAGTAAGTGATAGAAGTAGTTAAATACCTCAACAAAATGTAAAGCTATAAATAAACCTTGGGTAAAATTATTTTTAACAATAGATGGGAAACTTGAATGATATCTTTCAGACAGCCATACAAGTGAGTCTACCATGAGTACACCAAAGGTTACTGATCCCTGTTTTTTTTTTTTTTTCTTGGATGCACAGAAGGTAAGGCACAATAGGTCTACTTGGTGCTAACTTAGCAGTACCTACAGCTTTCTGCCATCACAGGGTAAAGGCAGAGCAAACATAGGTTTTCTTCAAAATACAATGCCATTGCGTCCTCCAGTTCCTTAGTGACATTGTTTTTCAATTAATAACTAAGCCAGTTAGGCATTTTTGAAAAATTTTAGCTTAAGTCTGCAGATGGACTCAGGACTGTCCTGTAAGTCTTTAACTGAAGGGCAGAGGCAGGCTCCACAAAGATTTATTCAATGCTAAACAAACCCTGATGTGACAAAACTTCAAACATTACAGTTAATTATAGAATGGAATCAAAATCAAACAATTACTTTCACATGTCCCTCTTGTAAACAGCAACGGAGTCAAAAAAAGGCAGTCAAATATATACCTATTTGTAAACATAATAACTTAAAATGAAGAAAGATGCCTGGGCTTCATGCCCATCAGATGTGGCAAGACTAAGCAAACATCTTTAATTACGGTTTTGAGTACATTTGCCAACTCACATAACGAACCATTCTACTACTAGATAATTATAACAATAAAGTGCTAGAACAAGCCTAGGACATGTTCACAGAGGATATTCTCCAACTTTCAAAATACAAATAAACAGAACGTAATTTGGAGTGCAGAAACTACCTAACAAGGGGCAGGAATCTACTCCTGTCTGCCTTCCCTCCAAACAAAACCAAACACTGGTTGTTCATATTTCAGTTAGATACCAGACTTTGGTAGTGGTAACATATATCACCAATCACTCCTTAATTTCTCAAAATACAAATGTCAGAGGCTCTTCACATGGCCGATATCTACAGAGCCTCTACACTATGATCTTACTGATATACGATGATTTTACATCTGCTGTTAGACCCTAAGAACCCACTAGCTATAGAGGAGTTCTTTGACCATCTTTTTGCTTAGTCAGATACTCTCAGGTAGACTTTTACTGTCTGAACTGCTTTGGATTTTGACAGACAATATAAATGTTTTGGAGAAATAAGATACAATTTTTCCACTGCTGTAGAACCCTAGAATTAGCACTGGGTGTTGATTATGAAGCTCCCACCCTTGACAGCGCTACCATATTGGAAAAGAGGTTTTCACTCAAAGATACATTCAGCTGCAGTGAAGCTGAGCACAAGCACGAAATAAGCACAAAGGTATAACCAGTCTTGAACAAGTTCCGTTCTGTTGCCTGAGCTTGAACTAACTTTGTAGATGCTGAAACTAAATTTTCAAACTAGAATTCTGAAATTCTTTAAGATCTTAAAGGAATTTGCTGCACATTCCACTTCTTTTTTTGTGTGTTGTTTTTTTTTTTAACAGAAAGGTGTAATTAAAAAAAACAATAATTGAAGAGTAATATATATATATATAAATATATAT